TATAGTTGCAGTTTGGCAATCTGTCCAATGGCTGGACAATACTGAATTCATTCAGTTAATTAAAATTCATTTTTGCACATTGTGTACGTCTACATTATAAAAATTCAGCTTGGATGACATGCACAAAAAGGTTATTTTAAGCCAAGAACATAGATGATAGCTGGCTATATTAGCTGTCTTGAGTCACAGCAGTACCGTAAACTGTTGCGAATAGTTACACTATAAGCAGTTTAAAGCAATGTCATGATTTAAATTGTTTCCTGTCTCCACTTGACTAGCTAGCTCTGACTACTTTGTAGTAAACTGAATGTGCACATCTACAAGAAAGACAGACTGATAAAAGGCACACTGATGTGTTTGTGTTTGTTGATTAAGATTTATCTGGTTACTAGAGTTGAAGCTGTGGGAGTCGAGGTATAGTGAATGTGGATTCTACTTTGTTCAGTCTGTTGTTACATGCTGGGTAGCTAGCCATAAACATCAGGATCCATCTTGTGGGACCATGAAAATTCATTTTACCTTTAATTGAAATCTTGCCAGAAGAATTGGGGCAGATGCTTGAGCAGACCAACAGACTTACTGTAGATTGCTATCCAGGGTATGTTTAAAATAAAATAGTTACGAAGTAACCTATTTAAAGGTTGTTCCAAATGGCCACACTTGATAGAAGGGGGAAGAGCCTGTCATAGAGAGGGAGACTTTCTGACTATTTCTCCTCAAATACATACATTGTGTGAATAATGAAAAAATGGGCCTTAACAGAACAACTCTGCACATATTCTTACGTCCACAAACCTGTTCAATTGCTGAGTGAAGAAACCATGCTTGGCGGCTTGTCAATTTCAGAAAGTTTTAAAATTTTCAGACATAAGCAATATTTAGGTCAAAATGAAAATGCCATTTTATAACTATTTTAAATTTCTAATTTTTTTTTAATTTAACCTGCTCTACAGTGGACATTATTCAAATGCAATAAGCAAAACACTGCCCCCAGTCTATTGTATTTATATTTACATGTCAATATGCACTTTCTTAAAGTCAGGTAAATTTGCTTTATTGCCATGAATTTTAATAGAGCATTATTGCCAAAGCTTGTTCAATATATTTACACAAAAACATTACATGCATGTTGGCATGTTAAAAGGACCAATGCTTAATACAAAATGTCCTGAGTCCTTGTCTCAGTTAAAATCTCCACAAGAGTCCATATCTCAACGAAAACCTCCTCTTCTGGATTACAGCAAGCAAACAAAAATACTAATTCGATACAAAAGTTGGCCAAAGAAAATAAAACCAATGGTGGCAATGGCGCACCATATAAGACATGCCTCTGGTGTGGGAAACACAGGTTCAGGTTCCACTGTGACATTCACCAATGTGTCCCTGAGCAAGACAATTAACCCCTAGTTGCTCCAGAGGTGTGTGACCTCTGACATATATAGTAATTGTAAGTCGCTTTGGATAAAAGCGTCAGCTCAATGAGTAAAAAAAAAAAAAACGCCTCTTGCATCTTATAAGCTTATGATCTGCATCTGATGGGTCTGCAGGGTAGCAACGGATTTTATTGCACCACCTTTGACATACCTTTTAAATCTCTCACTAGACCCAAACGAATAACAATTATAAGGAAATCTGCATTTGTTCCTCTCCTGTTAAAAGGGGGGAGACCTGACAGATTTAAATAATTAAAGACCTATCTCAAAATTGTCCGTCCTGGCTAAGTTATGGAAATTCTGGTGAACGAACAACTGAAGTAGTTTTTAACTACTAACAATATATTGTCTAATTTTCAATCAGGTTTTCAGAAAAAACACAGCACAACTACAGCAGCCCTAAAAGTAGTAAATTATTTTATTGATTCTTTAGACAAAAGACAACATTGTGCAGCTCTCTTCATTGATCTATCTAAGGCTTATGATACCATGGATCATGCAATATTAAAACAAAGACTTTTCAGTGTCTGATTGTCAGAACAGTCAGTCTGCTGGTTTGGCAACTATCTATCAGGTAGATCTCAGTGCGTGCAGGTAGACAGTCTCACTTCTAGCCCTCTTAGTGCATCCAAGGGTGTGCCCCAGGGGTCAGTGCTGGGACTACTCCTATTTATATTATATATCAACATTCTTGACCACAATGTCTCCAATGCAAATTTATATTTCTATGCCAATGATACTGTGATATACTGCTCTGCATCTACACTAAACCAGGCTCTTTGTCAACTACAACTGTAAAACATACCTTGTTTGATTTAAAACTTGACAACAAAACAAAACCTATATTGTTTTTCAGTGCAAAATCAAAGTCACTGAACTTTTCATCCATCGCTACTTCTCAGGGCTCCAAGATTGAGTCTGTATCTCAGTACAGGTATCTTGAATCCTAATTGATGATTCTCTCTCTTTTAAACATTACATTCAGTAAATTGAAGCTGAAATTGGGTTTTTATTTTAGAAACAAAATTGGGTGAAATTGGGTTTTTATTTTAGAAACAAGTCTGATGTATGCATCCAGTCAAAGCCTGAAACTTTTGGATACTGTTTACCATGGAGCTCTGAGGTTCATCACAAACTTTAGAGCCCTTACTTATCACTGCTCCTTGTATGATTGGGTGGGTTGGTCTTCATTGTCCACCCGTAGACTTAATCATTGGCACATTCTTATTTACAAGGCTATTCTTGGTCTGCTTTCTACATACCTACAACTCTACATCCAAAAGAAAGGCACAGGAAGGAGTTCTGAGGACTACTACTACTACTACTATTATCTGTCCTTCAAGTCCGGACTGAATTGGGAAAAGGGGTGTTTAAGTGTGCCGCTCACTGCGCTTGGAATCAGCTGCAAAATGTCCTGAATCTTCAGGAGCCAGTTTCACTGGTTGCTTTTAAAGTACTTTTAAATGACATGGAGGCTGAACATACTGGCTGTAGATGTTATGATTGATATGATATGGATGATTCTTGTTGTTTATCACTTTTACTAATTTTAATATTTTATAACCTTGTAACTCACTATTTATTTCCATCGTAAATTGTTATGTTTTATGTTTATGTTTTTAATGTCAATTAGTTTCTTTCTGGTTAAATAAAGGTAAGGTAAAAACATATATAAAAACAAACCATACAAAACAAATATAAAATAAAAGGGTCACCTAGAAAGGAAATACATAGTAATGTACATTCATGAATTACACAACTAGTGGGTAGGTCACAAAAGTAATTTTGGCTTCCTCTTCATACTGCAATCATCTTGACATTAGTACTGTGATCACCACACACCTACATGCAGCCCTCCATTGAAGACCAAATGTATCTGCAGATGTACGTAGTTGACACTGATAAAACATAACTATGTATAATGTACAAATAACAGTGACTCTGTCATGTTTTACAGATCATCTGAGTGACCTAATGAAGCTAGTGTCTGATGTGTTCCAAGACCCACCAGACTGTCATCATAGTATGAGAAACCATCAGAGGAGGAATTTATTGTTGCACAGGCATCATGCTTCAGTCAAGCAAAGACCTATAGACAACACAGCAGCATCAGGAAAGTCTTGGCATCCACAGGAAGACGCAACAGGATGACCACTGTGACCTAAGCGTCATTACGGCTCCATTACTGATTCATCCCTGAGCTGTTCATAGGTAGGTTTCATTTCGCTGTACAGTCTTGTGTTGTATAATGATATATAAACTACCTTAAACATGACCTGACCCAGACTGTAGTGACGTCCTAACTGAAGACCCACCTTGATGAGAGGACTGACAGTTTGAATTTTCATTTTCCATTGTGCACCTCACAGTTGACATATATTTGGGGGGGGGGGGTATATATAAATAATTACATTTGGATCATATCCACTATTGAGCAGTCTCTTGAATGAAATGTCATATGCTGTTTTCATTTTAATTTCCAAATAGTTAGAAAATGGCATTTTAATTTTGATCTGTAAAGAGCATGGTGACATGTAACTGTAAATACAATAGTCTGGGGTGCACCATTTTGCTTATTGTAATTGAATTGCTATTTTCATTTTCAAATATTGAGAAAATTTCCTTTTCATTTTGACTTAAATATTGCCTGCACAAATGGAAAATTAGGCTGTATTGTTTATATTGCATATTGCAACATTTGAATATTGTCCAATCTACACGAGGTATGACTTTTATTAAATTAAAACAGCATTTTCAACCACATGCCCACAGAAGTATGTGAAAATGAAAATGTAAATTGGATTATTGCATTTTCATTTTTACTCAAATAACTCATTCATACATGACAAAAGACTATACTATAGTGAAATTACATTTTCAAGTTTACATTATCATTTTAAATAAGTGTCAGAAAAACTTCCATAAATACGGCCATTTATCCAAAGTCTTTTTAACTATAGGATTGCAGTCTGAAAAATTATTCCTTTAGTACTGAATGCTGTGTAGAGCAAAATGATTATGATCCAAGTGGAGAGGATGACTGCAAAGAGAAATGATTAGATGAGAGATGAAAGAAAGAAAAAAACACAGCATAGAGGGGAGGAAGGGCCGAGATAAATCAGCTGTACTGCAAAGGGCTTTGATCAAATAACTGCCAGAGATTAGGAGCTTCTCTTCTTCTCTCTGTGACGATGCAGACCGTGGAAGAAGTTGAACTCTGCTTTCCACAACTCCTCAACATGTCCTGCAAGCAAAGTGTTCTCACTAGTCTAAAACCGGAAACAGAGACCACTCACTTCAAAATAAAATGTCTGCATTTTAAGGATAGTTTGAAAGGGGAGGGGAGGGCGGTGAGTGAGCAGTTTGTTGCAATTTGCAACCCTTACCACTAGATGACAGTAAAACTTACACACTGAACCTTTAAGTCAAGATTCATAACATTTATTCTGTTGAGTTCATGGATGTCTTCTACACATTATTTGAGCGTTTAAACTGGCTTAGTCAGGATTAGAGTTATGGTTAGAATTAAAATCTAAATTCACTGATAAAATCTGTTAATATGTCCATTTATCCAGAACCTTTAATCTATTGCACTATTTGAATGCAGCCTGAAAGATGCTTCCTGTGGGACTGAATCCTGTGCACAGCAGTGATGGAGAGGATGAATGCAAATGGAAATGATTGGATGAGAGACGTCATTCTTTGCTACAAAGGAAAAAAAAAAACACAGAAGGGAGGAAGGACAGAAATAAATCAGCTGTATTGCAGAGAGCTTTAGTCAAAAGGCTGCCAGAGCTCAGCAGCTTCTCCTCTTCTCTCTGTGATGATGGAGACTCTAGAAGAAGTTGAACTCTGCTTTCCACAACTCTTCAACACTTCCTGCCAGAAGCCAAAGCGTTCTCACTTTGAGATCATAATGTCTTACATTATACTGTCCTCCATCACTGTGCTCACCACAACTCTGAACCTGCTGGTCATCATCTCTATCTCACACTTCAAGTATGTGCGACACACTGCAAAAAAAAGAAACTTAGAGATGGTTTTCTGCAAAACAGTGTCATTATTTCAGTCAGTGCTTGTGTCCTACAAATATAATGAATAATGACGTATCAATGTATGTGTTGCTTGTCTCTCTCTCTCCAGGCAGCTCCACACCCCCACCAACCTCCTCCTTCTCTCTCTGGCTGTCTCAGATTTCTTTGTGGGCCTCCTCATGTTCTTTCAAATTATGCTCATAGATGGCTGCTGGTACCTCGGTGACATTGTGTGTGTTCTGTATCTGTATCTAGGATATATTATTACTTCTACCTCAGTAGGAAATATGGTGCTGATATGTGCTGACCGCTACGTGGCTATTTGTCATCCTCTGCATTACTCCACCAAAGTCACTCAAAAAAGAGTTCAAGTCTGTGTTTCTCTGTGTTGGATATGTTCTGTGATCTTTCAAAGTCTGGTTCTTCAGAATAACTTGGAACAACCAGGCAGTGCTATTTCTTGCATTGGTGAGTGTGTGGGTGTCAGTAACAACATTGCAGAATTTGCTGATCTGGTTTTATCCTTTATCGGTCCTGTTATTGTCATCATAGTTCTGTATATGAGAGTATTTGTGGTGGCTGTGTCTCAGGCTCGTGCCATGCGGTCTCATATTGTAGCTGTCACACTTCAGGGTCCAGTGAAAGTAAATGTTAAGAAATCTGAGATCAAAGCAGCCAGGACTCTTGGTGTTGTTGTAGTTGTTTTTCTAATATGCCTCTGCCCATATTACATTGTGGTCCTTACAGCCCCGGATACTTTGCTCATTGCTTCATCAGCTGCATTTGTGATATGTATGTTCTATTTTAATTCATGTTTAAACCCGATTATCTATGCCTTCTTCTACCCCTGGTTCAGAAAATGTCTTAAACTCATTATTACACTTAAGATAATGCAGCCTGGCTCCTGTGAGGCCAGCATACTATAGAAAAAGAGAGTGTGTGTATTGACTAAAAATTATTTTGCTATGAAAATAAAATACTCTAATTAATACTTTAATAATTTTTACTATTCTCTGCTGTATATCGTCAGTAATGTAACAAGTTATTGCAATGGCAATGAGTTATTTTATAAGATATGTTGATATTAAAATTTAGTGTTTAGTGTTTAAGTGTGATTTGCATGATAAATAATGTTTTTATGTAACATTTTTGCATACACTTGGTCGGAAACAAAATAACGCTTTGGGCAAAAGATTTTGTGCACAAGTCAGATGGGTTTAAAACTTTCGCCATTTTGTCTTACAATTAAAATAAATAAGTGTTTATTTATGTAAAGTTTTTAAAAATAAAAATCAAATAACTGTGTTTAAAAGTAACACAACCTACTAAATGTCTGACCACATCTAATGGCCACACTCAAAGGCTGAGAGAAGAGCCTGCTGTCACAGATGAACATGACAACAGACAACAGCTTCTCCTTAAAATCATTCATGGTTCATTCGGTATATTTGATCAATCCTCATTATTCAACACCCATATTAAGCAGCTGACCAGATCTTGTTTTTTCCAAATAACAAATATTATTAAACTGAGATCTGTAATTTCAGCTGCTGAATTAGAGATGCTTGTACACATCTTTATCTCATCTCACACTGACTACTGTGACAAACAACACTTCTCACTCACTCTTCTTGTCACAGTCTCTCCCTGACTCATGTCTTGTTAGTATATTTTTTTCCTTTGGTGTTCTGGTGTGGAACGGGGCCCCGTTTCAGAAAGAGGGATTAGTGAAAACTCAGAGTGGGTTGAGCCTGAGATGAAGGAAACTCTAGGTTTTCTGTTTCAGAGACCGAGATCTGATAAAACTTAGATCAGTAAATCCGGTAACTGATGCTGTGAACAAGATAAGTTGGACAAAAGTCAGTTTCTCTCTGACTCCTCCCCCTGCGGTGCCTGAAGCGGCTGTCTGAAAAGCATTCAGAGATGCAATATGTCAGAACCACCAAATTCCACCAGCCCCACTCTAAATAAAAGAGATTTGTTGTTATTATGCCCTCATTTTTTTCAAACACAAAAATGTATTTACCATCTTTAACTTTCACAACCTACCTTTAATTGGTATTCAAGTCATTTTGAGCTGTGTTTTTTTATTAACACAATTGTCACTGCCGGTGAGCTAGTAATGCAGTATTATATGGTCCATTTGCAGATCACATTTTACTGTAAATACTGTTAAGTCAGAAGCATTTTTACAGTTCAATGCACAATTTCCTTTAGACACATGGGAAATGCAAGTAGTAGTAGTAGTAGTCGTCATTGGGTATGTTCCATTATAGGACAAGGACATGAAAGTTGTCACGTGGGACAAAGCAATCAAATCATACTGAGATTCAAGTTGGATACCTCTGTAGGCCTCATGGTATCACCTATAGCAGGGGATAAGGTGTCTTCATCATCCTCCTGTGGTGAAGAGGAGCAATAATGTTTGATATAGGCTACTTCAAACCATCCCAATATCTGTGGAATATTCAATTACGTACAACCACATGGAGACTCTATGAGCCCAATCACTCCATCAGTAACTGTTGCAGTATGAACAATTTCAAATGTCAACATAAGGGTTTCCAAATTGTGTCAGATGTAGGCTATTGGGGTGGATTAATGGAGACCCCAGCCTTCCTAAATACTGGCAAAAGGATGAGTGATGAACCTACCCTTTATAGAGGGACTTGTGTTCTGGGGGTGATGGGCTCTGATGAGCTGTCATCAGGAATGCCTTCTGCAGTAGGGTGCCCACTGTTTTGGGTGAGGGCCAACTGTTCAGCCTGTGTAAGAGGTGATGGTGGTGGCCCAGCTTTCTTGTTTGGCTACAGTGAACTTAAACAATGCAACATTAATTTTAACTTGAACTTCACCTAACATAGACAGAAGTACCTCTAAGCAAAATATCTTACCAGTCTGTAATATGTTTTTGTGTTTAATATTAAGTATTAACTGCCAAGTACTCTTGGTCCCCATAGGATTGCAGCTGAATTAGAGGATACAGCAAATGTATAATAATTTTCTTAACATTTAAAAAATGTTTGAAACTGACGCAATGACTCAGGCAGCAATTTCCTCCCAGGCCAACTACTGCTGTTTCGCTGCTGATGCAGTAATTGCTTTTTTCTTTAATATATGCTTGTAGTCAGCATATGTGGACATTAATATTTCCAATATTCATATTTGATATGAAATATGATACCCTGCTCTTTTTGGCGTTTTCTGACATATTGATGCTGTTTTCTTTGCTCCGTTGGTAATGGCTGATGGCTGTTGTGGAACCAACAACTCTGGAGTTTCCCTTCTTAGGCTCAATCAACTCAGAGCAAAGGGATAAGCTCCGAGTTTGGCTGCATTCGAAAAGTCTTTTTTGCTTAGGAAGGTTCCTAAGTGAACTGAACCAGAAGTATTTCAGTGGCAGACATGATAAGAGCAGTTTGAATTCTCTAAAAGCTGAGGAAAGGAGCCTCAATGCTTCCTTTCATATGTCCTTTAGCATATGGCACACCTGACTATCCTTTACGAAAGGAAAGGAGAGAATGCCGTCCCACAATTCCTTGCGGCGGCAACATTTAAAGTGGCGCACGTTCTCAAACTCAAACGATAAAATCCATCAACCACATTTAGCAAGATTCTTGCAATACAGACACACATTATGATACTTTAATAAGACTCACAATTAGCTTCTTTCTTTAGGTTAGTTTTCTTTTGGCTTTTTTGTAATTTAATTTTATGTTTCGGGTTGTTGAAATAAGCCATTAAGTGTTTTCTACAATAAAAAAAATAAATAAACCATCCATGATGGATAAAGGAGGTTGATCACCATGTAAGTTACCATTGGCTATTAAGCCTTTTCTCTCTCATGCCATAACTTACTAATATGCATATATCTTAAACTGTCAACAATAACTGAGACCCATGCGAGCTGTCTTGTAACGTGATCAAAGTGAGGATAATGTTGCAGCGTGTAGCCTCACGTTATGTACTGCAGCCTTCTGCAAATTAATACTGTCACAGATGCTGACACCCTCGCCTTAATAAAGGCAAAGATCAAGCTGGATAACCTACAGGAGGCGTTTCCCTGATCACTGATTTATTTTTGGCGGCCTGCCACATTATCAACGCTGATTTTCGATTGATTTTGTTACTATTAAAAATGGGTAAAATCATGCTTTACAAGAGAAAATTGTAAAACATTTTAAAACAATTATAGCTACAACAGTGAACAACATTAGTGTAAAGTGTAATATAATCAAAGACTTAAGAAGGTTAAGTGTGTAAGTTTCAGTGATATCTAGTGGTGAGGGTTGTAAAAAAAAAACATCTCAAAAACTATCACATCTAATGCAAGTATGACCACTAACATAACAGGAAAAACTAAGCTCACTGTTTCTGCACCACAGTAAATTTTTAACCACATGAAGTTTACAAAGTCATTGTCAGGTGAGAATTAAGGCTCCTCTTCACACGGTCTTATCATAATGCTGTTAGCAGTGTTTTCTACAAAGGCAGTAAAATGTGAAGTTTATGTCCACGTTGCAAAACCAAGAAACAGTTAAAAATTCAACTAAATATTTTTTCTAGGGCAGTAAAAGTTTAACTTGCTTTTCTGACCATTAGGTTATGGTTTTATTGCCAATTAATCAGCAGATTGTCTCAAGAATGTAACCAACAAATTTATGTCCAGCCAAAGCGCTGGAGAATAAATAATGTTACATGACATTACAACATGTACATGTTTTTCTACCAGGGCAGTAAAAGTTGAAGTTTAGCTGTCTGATCTGAGCTTCTATGCTGTAAGTTAAGTTACCGTTTTATTGCCAATTAATCAGCTGATTGTCTCACGAAAGTAACACATTATGGTCGACAGCCAAGCCAGAACACACACTGAAGAATAATGTTAATAAAATTACAATCCAGCTACATATTTCACAGCATTGACCGGGCGTTACTACTCTCTATGATTATGGCCAGCTTCTAGCTAACGCTATCAAACAAAAGTTTGCATTTGCAGCGCTAAAGTTACACTAACTTAATTATCTGTCCAGCAGAAAACAGACAACTTCAGCTCCGCTTTGAAAACATTTGTCCATCAGGGCGTTCCATCTGGGAAAATCCACACCAATAATAGCATTATATCGACTCATGCTAAATAATAGGTGTAGTCCTCCATATGTCCAAATTTGACTTCTGTTCTTACTTTTAATAAACCAGATTATTACTCAGAGACTGTATATTATTATTGTTATTATTATTATTATTATTTCCTCTTCTTCGTATGCATTCAATGTAGCAACAAATGTCTACACTGCCGGAAATATACAAGCAGAAGAACATCTTAGTGACAAAATGCACTGAAGAGCTGTTTGTCCATTTTTGGTTACTGTAGAAACATGCCGACGTCCATGGAAGGGGAGACCCGCGGTTATGTAGATAGAAATGGCTCATTCTAAGGTAATAGAAACATAATGTAAGGTCTTTATACACCACTGAAAACATAGTTATATATCTTAAATTTAATTTCTGTCAAATCCACAGAGATATTACACACTGAACCTTTAAGTAGTGATGCAGATAAAAGTGAATTCAGACTTTTTTGAAAGGTAATTGAATGATTATGCTTTTGATAACAAGTAACCAAACTCATTCTCATTTGGGGCTTATATCACAACATTTGCAATCAATTATTCTGATTACATTTGGAAAACCAGACATCGCTACAAATTGTGTAGTGATGTTGGCCTGCTCACCCACAGCATGAGGAAACCTTATATAATGGGAGGTTATTTCGATAAGGCCATCCAAGACAGCTGGCGATTAGCGTTTAGTGATGGCTGCAATATTTCAGACATATCAGCCAATTTGCGCTGAAATGTCCCAGCTGCCAGAAAGGACAGAGTGGTCAGCATCTGCACAGTGATGGAGTTGTTCTGCCAGGTTGGAC